AATAGTGCCACTCCCTATGGGCCAAACATTCAAACACATGAGTCTATGGGGGCCATTCCTATTCAGATCTCCACAAATGGGGTTGATCGACATTCTGAAAACAGACAGGAAAGATGGGAGCAGAGTTAGGACAGAGAGAGCTGTGACAGGCTGAGCCTGGCAGGACAGCGCACAGGGCTACACTTCCCGTGAAACGAGAGAGGCTCAGGGGAAGGGAGCCAGGTTTGGAGGGAGGGGGAGCCAGAAGCAGGAGGCTCGAAAGACACCCCTCCCCCATCAGGAGCTTTGGGCAATCCCTGGGTTCCACCCAGAGAGGAGAGAGCTGATCAGGCAGACCAGACAGGGATGCAGGCTGACCCATGGCTGCCCTTCTGTGTGGTAGGGCTGCCTGGTCTGAACTGTGGCAGCTGACCCATGCCCAAAGCCGCCTGCTCCATGACACAGAAACCGCCCTCCGAGTCCACAGAGACCTCCTAGAAGTCCTTGCTCAGATTCAGGTATGAACTCTAGAGGTGGATCTCCCAGGCTCAGTGCCCCACCCTCCCTTCCTACCCTCCCCTGACCCTTTTCTACCCTAGGAGAAAGCTACAAGCCTCCCTAATGACGTGGCCCAGGACCTGCGTGGGGTAGAGAACCAGCTGCAGAGACATGAGAGGCTGGAACGTGAGCTGGCAGGCCTGGAGCAGCAGGTAAGTCGGCTGCCAGCACAGTCCCTCGGGCCCCTGCAGGCCGTCCAGCCTGGCCCGTTTGTTCTTCCCGTTGGGCCTGCCCTGCATGGCAGAGCATGGCCCAGGAAGTTCCCAAGCTTGAGTACTCAGACAGGGAACGTACCTTGGGATGCTCAGGTCCTTCCACCTCTGTGAAGAAACCGTTCTCCTCTCCTACCCCTTCCCTGTTAGCTGCAGGAACTATTGGAGGCTGGAAGCAGGGTACAGAAGCTGTGCCCAGGTCCTCAGGCCCTCGCCGCTGTCCAGCAGCAGCAGCAAGCTGTGACACGATCCTGGGAGGCCCTCCAGCTGCGTGTGGAGCAGCGCAGATCCCAGTTGGAGTGCGCACACCTCCTGGTCCGCTTCCACACAGCGGTGAGGGCTTTCTCCTCTCGGGAGGGGCTCAGGTGTGCACAGATGTGTACACGCACCGAGGCCCTCCAGTTCTAGAGGGAAGATGAGTGTGGCCAGAAAGGGCAAGATCAAGGGTCTGTAATCCTGGAAGGACTGGGTTGGGTGACGACAGAGAAACCGAGTGACAGAGACCTGCGAGCCTCACCAGAAGCCCTGTCTCAGACAGCTTGATGTGTCCATGGGTTCGGGCAGGCTACAGCTGTGTGCCACCAGCCCCATCTCAATGGGGCCTCGTTCTCTCCCGGGGTCAGGTGAAGGACTACACCTCCTGGGTGGCCAGCATGCGTCAGGAGCTGCAGAGGGAGGAGGCCTCCTGGGAACCCAGCCATACCCTGCTCAGGCTCAGGGCCCACCAATGGCTGCGGGCAGAACTGGAAGCCAGAGAAGAGCTGCAGAGGCAGGCCACCAAGCTGGGCCAGCAGTCACTTCTGGCTGCGGGGACACCCGCTAAGGAGGTGGGCACTCTGCCCATGCTCCCTGCCCACCCTGTCACCCCTTGGGCTGCCCCCTGCCCACCCCACCGCCTCTTCTCCAAGGCTTCCCTGGGGATGCATTAGTGGCCCTCCCCGACCCCACCTCTCCACATCCTCACCTGCAGGTCCAGGATGCGCTTCAAGCCCTCCAGGAGGAGCATGACCAGGTGTTCGAGGCCTGGGCACTCAAGCAAGAGAGGCTGCAGAGCATGCTTCAAGAACAGCGCCTCCTCAGACAGTGCGATCACCTGGCGAAGATCCTCACAGCCCAGGAGGCAGGTCTTACAGCCTCGACTCGAACCCTCATCCTCTTCCATACCTCTGTTCCTCCCTTTCTTCCCGAGTCTTTGGCTTTTTCTTGGACATGGAGCCTAGGGGCTGTGGGTGAGTCCTCCCCGGTGGCTAGTGTAGATCACCAGGGCACCATGGCCCCCACTAGCACCCCCAGGCCAGATCTAGCCCTGCTCTTTTGCCCAGCCTAGACACTGGACTGAGACCCCTGAGTCGGATAGAGACGGCCGATCATCTCCACTGTGTCGGAGGTTGAAGTGTGGCTGGCCTCCCACCTGGGCTCCTGCTCCCCTCACCTCTCCCCTGCCCACATGCGTGCGGTGTTCCCCTCAGCTGCTGAGGCCCCAGGGGTACCGCCTCGGTAACAGTGCTGGCAGCCTTCAGTGCCTCTGACCTTCCCGCATACTGATCTAGGCCTTCCTGAAAGCCGGTGGCCTGGGTTGCTCAGTGGAGGAAGTGGAACAGTTGATTTGCAAGCATGTGGTCTTCCAGAAAGTGCTCGCTCTCCAGGACAAGAAGGTGATGGGCTCAGGGAGTCCTGAACACGATGGTGGGGGGGTCCTCAAGAGGGGTACGGTGGCTGGGTGTACGCCCAGAAACAGCGCTTGTTTTTATGTCTGTGGAAGCAGGGCTGGAAGTGTTCCTATGGATCAAGAATAAGCCCGGGCTGCTTCACACTGGGGGGGCCCCAGGGAGCATTCACTGAGTGCGAGGTCGCCGGGGCCACCAGCCAGTCCTTAGCCGTGCAGAGCTGAGGGAAAGTCAACGGCCAGGTGGCCAGCATAGAGCTGCTGACTGCCCGTGTTCCACAGGAGGCCACCCTGCGGGAGCAGTTGAAAACTACCCCGAGCCCCAAGGGGCAGAGCCTGGTTTACCGCGTGCTGGAGCATCGGGCTCAAGTGAAGGAGCTGGCAGGGAGCCGGGGGCAAGCCCTGCACACCTCCCTGAAGATGGCCAACTTCACCAGGGCGGCAGCTCAGGTCAGAGGCCCGTCCCCTGCCCGTTGCCCAAACTTTGGAGTGCATTTGTGCAGTTTGAGGTGACACTCAGACCACAACACTGTGTCTGATGATAAAAACAGGTTTGGAGAGTTAAGTGGCTTCCTGGGGGCCGTGGAGCCCAGAACATTGGATTTGGAGCCCCTGTGGGCTGAGACTCATCTGTTTGCCGAGCCCTGGCAGAGCCAAGGCAAAGAAGAGTTATAGGAAGGGGGACAGGTTCCTGGAACAGGGGGCTCATACCTCTGAAACAGACTCCCATCCAAGTTCCTTGCTCAGCCTGGCCTGGGGCATGGCTTCCTGCCTAGAACCCTGGTGCTTGTTTACTAGATACTGCTAGCTCTGCCCTGGACTATACTAGTGTGGAGCGGGAGTGGAAGGGGGTGGGGATGGGGCTTTGGGATGGAGCATCATAGGATTTGGCCCCGTCCCTACCAGGTTGAGGACTGGATTCAGGAGCGGGTCCAGCAACTGAGAGCCTGGAGCCCTCTTGGAAACCTAAATGATTATCTGAAGCACCTGCGGAAACACCAGGCCTTCGAGGCTGAGGTCCAGGCCCATGAGCAGGTCATGACCTCTGTTGCCAAGGTAACCCCAGCCTCAGCTCAGCCTAAAGTGTTGATGGCCAAGGTCTCAGATAAGAAGAAAGGGGCTGAGCGCTCCCCTATTCCTGTCTCCCAGCAAGGTGAAGGGCTCCTCGGACAGAGCCACCCTGGGACTGGAGAGGTCTCCCAGAAGCTGAAGGCCCTGTGGGAGCTCTGGGAGAAGCTGAGGCAGGCAGTGACCCTGCAGGGCCAGGCCCTGGAGGACCGACGCAGCTTCCTGGAGTTCCTGCAGAGAGTGGACCTAGCAGAGGCCTGGATCCAGGAGAAGGTGAAGGCTCCGAGAGCCGAGCAAGGCATTTGGAGGCTGGGGGCTGAGGCTGGGGACCAGGAGCCAAAGGATGGGGTGGGGAAGAGCCAGGCACGTAGTTCTCTGTCTCCGTGATGGTAAGGGCTTTAGTGGGAAGCCCCAAGCCTCCGCCTGCCCTGACGCTGCCCCAGCTACAGGCCAGAGTTGAGCGCTGCATCCCCACCCTTGGCCTCCACAGGAGAGGATGGTGAACAGCGGCGACATGGGCCTGAGCCTTGAACACTGTCTACAGCTCTGCAGAGAGGCCCACAGGTTACAGGTGAGAGGCTGTGCTCGGGAGGGTTGGCACAGGATCTCCCATTGGGAAATTTGTCCAGTGGACTCCAGAATCCAGAGAAAGGCTCAATCAAGCTCGGCTTTGCAGTACTTGGCCACACTTAGGCAAGCTCCCTCATCTGGTCAATCCTTAGTTTCTTCATCTCTGAAATGAGTAGCATGCCTTCCTCAGAGGTGAGGGAATGCATGTGTGTGGTGGTGGTCACATGATTCTATGCCTGTAATTTGATGCCTCTCCTGGGAATCTTGGTTTGAGTGTCATGGTAAGAAGCAGAGGTATGCATGGAGCTGCTGGGCAACTTCTGCATTTATACCAAGTTGTGATCCTAACTTACCATTTCAAGATTACTAAAAAAGATACAGCCTGTGCCTGGGTGTGGTAGATAATCAATGCCTTCCTTCAGTGTGAATAGTTCAGCATCTCCTCACCCACATCACTGACCAAAAACACCCGGAATCTATTTCTGTAATACAGAGGGGGCCTTGGCAAATACATTCATAAGCAGGTGTTGGAGACAGTGTGGAAGGCGCTGACCTCGATGCAGGTGTATGGGATTTTGGTAAAGGCTGCAGTCTTAAACCCAACACGTCCTTAGCTGGTGATGTCATTTGCTGGATGCTGTGCCATATGGTACAGCAGGAAGGGGGGCCCTGGGCCCGAGTCCTGACCTGCCATGAGTGAGCACCATGACCCCCTGAGCCCCGCTGTGCTCCGGGATCACCTCTCAGATGAGTTAAATGGTACAAATGTAGGGAGCAGGCAGCCTGTGATCCACCCTGCTGGGGCTCCCCTCCCTGAGGACCTGTAAGCCTGCCTGTGTCCAGGCTCCATTTTTAACTTTAAACACTACCCATGGGTCTGTGTCCACCTTCGCCCTCCTACCCAGTCCTCATTCTAAGAAGCCCGTTCCCCCACCTCAGAGCTGAGGGGGTGGTCTCCAGCACCTGTCACTGCAGAGGAAGCAGCCACCTCCCACTCCCCAAATCTGCTGTGGTTGCGAAAATTCCTTCCCAGGGGGAGACATAAGAAATATCTACCCCTTCTCCCAAGGCCCCAGTGACAAATCAAGACATGAGACGAAGTTCGTTCTGGGGTTTATTGGACTTCCTTACAGAGCATAATACAGGAATGTGGGTACTCCTCCCCCAACAAGCTGAAAAGCTTACTCAGAGGGCTCTGAAGGAGCCCCTCCCAAACTCTTCCCAGTTTATACGGTCTAGCCTCTTCCCTAGGCCGTGTGCAGTTAAGGCAGAATGACACACAGCAGATGCTATGGAGCACCTGGATATTCAGGTGCGGGTCCTGTGACCCTCCCACCCGTCCATGAGGGAATATAAAGGGTCAGAAAGCCCAGCTGGGATGATCCTTGGCAAGAGGCACAGCTGGACTCCTCAAGATGGTGATGGCTTTCCCAGGGGACAATCACAATAGCTACTCCAGGAGGAGGCTTGAACAGGTGGTGTTAGTTAGTGTTCACACCTCCCCCTTCCCCGTAGGTCACAGTGGATGACACCTACATCGGGAGAATCAAAAACTTGTCACCGCAGCTCAAGAACCCGAGCCCCGAGGAATCTGAGACCATCAGCCAGCGGCAAAACCAGCTCAACCATAGGCCAGTCTCAGACGGGGCAAGGGGGACCAGTGGGGCTGGAAGAGGGGCTGGGGGCCACCTCGGGCTGCAAGGTTCACCCCCATCCTCTGGTCAGGTGGAAGACTTTCCATGGCAACCTGCTCCTGTATCAGCAGCGGCTTGAAGCAGCCCTGGAGACACACACATTGTCCAGTGAACTGGATAACCTCACTGAGCAGATCAGGGAAAAGGTAGGTAGTGAAAAGTCCCCTGGTGCACGGAGTTGGCAATGGCATGGAGTCTCCCATGACCCCAGTCCCTGGCCTACCTCTGCTCTTCATCTGGATCACACCAGGAGTCCACCAGGGAATCTGATGAGAATCGTACTACACCCCCCCCAACACCTCTGCAGCTCCCAAGCCAGCCCCCCTGCCTCTTTCCATCCCAGATGTGGGGTGGGTCTAGAGGCCAGAGCACACCTATTTTCCCTGAACCCTAAGCAAGTCTAGAGCCCAGGATGGTGTCAGTTCCCACAGAGATGCAGGTGGGCTGGAAGCTGGCTAAGGCCTCTGCAACCTGAGAAGTTCTGTGTGGGACAGCATCCCCTTCCACTGGATCCTGCCCTCACAGCTAACGCAGGCCTCTGCCCTCTGAGATCCCTCAGGGTCAAAGAGACCATGCCAGGAAGCACCACACACGTCTCACCAGAGGAAAGTCAAGACCCAAAGTCCTGCCCCAGAACTGTTCCTCTGGCCAGGTGCAGGGCCCTGCTCCCACCCCATCAGCAGGAAGGGATTCATGCAGGGTGCTTGCATTCTGCCCCGCCACCCTAGGTGACCAGCCTCCTGTGGCGAGGTGACAGCTGAAGCTGAGCCTAGCCGGTAATGGCTCCCCTCCCACCCTCCCAGGAATCCCTGATCCAGGCCCTGGAGAGCACAGAAGATTTGGAGAATGTACAGAGGCTACCATGGAAACAGAAAATGTTACAACAGGGGATGGGCCTCATCCAGACTCAGGTGGAGGTGTGCAGTTGGGGGACCCGGGCCCTAGGTACATCCGCGGGAGCCCTGGTGGATTCCTGAGAGCCATGTGCTGAGACCCACATAGCCCGGGCCCCTGCCGCCTGGCCTCTGACCTTTATCCCTGCAGTCTCTCGAGGGTAAGGTTGGCCGCCTCTGCAAGAGAAGTCCTGAGGTTGCCCACAGCCTCAGTCATAAGCGACAAGAAATGATGGACTGCTGGTGGAAGGTCTGGAGCAGGCTCCAGAAGTGGTATGAGCCCTTGGGCCTTAGTCCCATGCCGAATGGTGCCCTCCAGTTCTCAGTCTGCACTTCCCCTTGGCCCCAGCCCACAGACCTTCTGTGCTGAGGGGTTAAAGGATACTGGGCATGAGGGAGGGGAGGTTCCATGATCCTAGAACTAACCAATGAGTCCTGTGAGCAGGAGGGAGTCACAGGATGTGGCCCATAAAGTTTGGAAGCTCCAGATGCTGCTGCGGGATCTGCAGGACTGGGCACAGGGACTGAAGGCTGAGATGGACACGCGGGGCAGCCCCTGCAGCCCCGAGAGAGCCCTGTACATGCTGCAAGAGCACCAGGCATACAAGGTGAGCCGCAGTCCCTGTCAGCCCTCCCCTTACTCTGCCCCCCTCCTCTGACCCCTTCCAGGACCTTTCTCTGTCTCCTGGCCAACTTTGCTCTTGTCCATCCTGCCCTCTCCTTCCTGCTGGACCTCTGGTGACCCTGGGAGGCCTCAGCCCACGGGGAACTGACCTCAGGCCTATTACAGGTCGAGCTGGACATCCGCGCAGACAGCCTTAGCCTGGCCCGGAGCATGGGCCAGCAGCTGCTTGCATCTGGATGCCAACTGGCCTCTGGGATTCAACAACCCCTGGCTGCTGTGGAGCAGGAGCTTAGTAGCTTGGAGGAATCATGGCAGAGGCGGTGGCAGCGGCTACAGCAGGCCCTGGAGCAGCAGGTGGGCCCCAGACCAGCTTTCAGCCTACCCCACTATCAGGACCTATGACGTCTCCACAGCCCCGGTCAAGGCCAAACCCGGAAGGACTGCCTTCCCCGGGTATTCCTGCCATTCAGCCTGCTCCTATACCGTGGAGCCGGGCCCCTGGTTCTCCAACCTGAACCACCAGGAAGGTCACACACATGCCTGGGTAGTTCCTGGGCCCTCTCCTGACTTTCTCTTGTCCTTTTTTTCCCAGTCACTTCTGAGCTCTGTGGAAAAGGTGGAACGCTGGTTCGACAGTGAGGAGGCCTCTCTAGCTAGTGAGGGACCGGCGGTAGGTACCCAGCAGGAGTGGGGAAGGATGGGCGAGAGCCCGCCAGAGCCATCAAGCTCTCTGGGTCAGGGTCTTCCCCACGGCTGAGCAGTTACCATCAGTCCTAAGAGTTCCTTGGCCCCTTGGGTGGGGCCCGTAGGGTGTGTCTGAGGAGCCGAGGGAGTGAGCTTATGGTTAGGCTGGTCGCTCCCTCGGATCTCTCTCTTTGCCTCTGTCCTCACTCCAACATCATCTCAACCCCAGTAACAGGCAAGCATAACTCACAGAGACCTGGGGGAATAATTAGGGCTGACATAGTCTTTCTCAGAGGACAGAGGGAAGCACTCAGCCTGCCCTGGAAATGGACACAGATGGTCCCCCTATCCTAAAGCTAGAAGCAGCCTGGTGGGGTCTGAGGAATGCCATTGGGAGAACAATCACTTTGTGGAGAGGGGTTCTAGAGGGAAGCAGATGGCCCAGGGTGGAGTGGGGGCAGCCCTGTAGTCCGCATCAGCACCCCACTTCCATCAGGGTCCCTTGGCCACTGTGGAGACCCTTCTGTCGAAGCACAAGAGGCTCGAGCAGCACCTGAAGGCAAGGGCTGAAGAGATCAGTGCGCTGGAGGCCACAGCCCTCCGCCTGCACCAGAGTGGACACCCTGAGGCCCGCAGCATCCTGGCCAGGTGCCAGGCCCTACTCCTGAGGTACTTGTGGCTCTGGGATGACGGGACCTGGGGGTGAGCTGGCTTGGACATCTATTATCCAAGCTCTTCCCTTCCTGGTCAACTTCTTGATCCAACTAGTAGCGTTTTCCAAAGCCTAGGGTCCGAGGCTGGGAGTATTCTCCACTCCTGACCTGGCAGTGTGTCTACCTGTTCTCCATTAGACAATGGCATCCATTTCCTTCATCCCAGCTTCATCCACTAAGAAACTCACACTAGAACACCGAGAGGAAGTGATTGCATGACATGGAAGGGACAGATCATGCTAGGTCAGTCTTTCACAACCACGGTCCTGAGCCTCCTCTAAGTGGTGGGACCTGAGGCAGATCCCACTGTCCTAAAGTCTTCAATCTGCCTCTGAGGGCCGTGCTGTCTTAACATGGTGCCTGTCCTTCTGAGCAGGCTGAAGATCTCTTAAGGAACTGAAGCTCAGCCGTAGACCTGCGTGGCCTGCCCATTTCATGACACTAGCCTTGCCTTCTCCCTCATAGCACAACTCCTCTGGCTCAGCTGGCCCAGCTCCTCCAGGGTAGAGACCAAGGCAGATGCATCCAAAAGCCACGTCCCAGACTGGCTGGGACTACCTTCCCGCTCCTGCGGCTCCTTGTGCTGATGCTCCAGCAGGAGCCAGTATATCTCCTCTCGTTTACTTGTTGATTTGTTTATTTATATTTCAGGTGTATGTGGGGTTTGCCTGCATGTATGTCTGTGCACCATGTGCATGCCTGGTACCTCTAGAGGCCCGAAGAGGAGATCAGGTTTCCTGGAACTGGAGTTATAAATGATTGTGAGCTGCCATGTGGGTGCTGGGAATCGAACCCAGGTCCTCTGGTTCTGCTGAGTCACTTTTCAGGCCCCATCCCTTTCCATTCTTGCAGGTAGATTTCCCTGGGTATCCATGGAGGTCTGAGTAGACAAACAGCAAGTTAGTCAGTTCTATTACCTTAGGTGGTTCCTGACAGGTCTAGTCAACCCCAGCATGACGGCATTGACCTCTTCCCTCTCCCCAGGCTTGGGCCATACTCCGGAGGGTGTTTGGCCTCCATCTAGCCTCAGGTTTCCCCCAGCTCCATGCCCTTTGGTAACACCAGTGAAGGGGAAAGCCGCCATGGGGTGGAGGTATTAGAACTTCATTCTGTGTGCATCTGCTAATGTTTTTAATACATTGTTTCAAAGGTACATATAGGGAATATATAAATTAATACATAATGTAGCTTGCATATATCAAATGTCTTAAGTATGTTAAATATTAAAGTAGGGTGTGTGTGTGTGTGTGTGTGTGTGTGTGTGTGTGTGTGTGTGAGAAAGACTCTTGCTCACAGCAATGCATAATCAAAAAAGTGGCTAAAGCCAGACATGGTTGCACACACCTGTAACCCAAGCACTTGTTGGAGGAGCACAGGAGGATCGAGAGTTGTGAGGCCAGCTGGGGCCGCACAGCACAGGCCGCTCAGCCTGGCTGAGCTATATAGTGAGACCCTGCCTTAAAAAGAAACGGTGAGATTCTCAAGATGGCCTAGCAGGTGAGAGAGCTTGCTGTATAAGCTTCAGTTGCTGGAACCTGTGGAGGAAGGAGAGAGCCAGCTTCCAGG